GGAGAATGTAAAAATGAAGTACGCACCTCTTGAGCATGATGAGATAGGTGAGACTCAGGCTCCCGTAGTAGCAAGTCTACGGGTGCTTGCCGCACAAAATCGGTGAAATGATGGAAGGTGCTAGGAGGAAGGATGTGCTCCTACGGGCGATACCTCTCCGGGTCGAACGGCCGCATCCTCGGCGGCAATGGCATAATGTCTAGCTCCTCCACTACCCGTGGAGAGCCCCCGTCATGCGGAATATGGTCGGCCATCTGAAGAAACCTGCAAAAACATGCAAAAATGAGCGAAATGCGCCAAAATTGCAAAAAGTCAACAAAAGTCAACTCTCGGGAAGAGAGAAAGTCAACAAAAGTCAACGCCCGAGAAAAGGTGCTAAACTTCAAGACAAACATACCTCAAGTGGTGACAATGGAGAAAGAAGCTTCGAAAACAAATTCTAATCGGTTCCAAACGAAGAGAATCGAAAGTTTTCGCGAAACTTCGCGTGGGGCGTTGGAAAACGCATATAAAGTGTAGATCTGAGAGAGAAAATGGTCTAGGGAGAAAGAGAAGTTGATTTCGGCCTTGGAGGTGCGAGAAAAAGTGATTTGGAGCTGTCCACTTAAAGATCCGGCCTTGAAAAGACCAATCTGTCCCTATTTCAGTAAACTGGTTGGCCAGTCAGTTTTTCTGGCCGGCCGACCACTTAAGTGGTCAACAACTGATCGGCAAGCTACCTAGGTGGTCTGCAGGCCTCCTGGATGATCTTCAGGGCTCCATTGTTCTCCCTGTGTGTTTTGGTGATGATTGGAGTCCTTGGCTCTCGAGAAAGTGCAAGAAAAGTACACTTTTTTGCCGCGAAATTGTCCCCGCGGGAACTTCAATTCAAGTCTTCGATGTGTGGCTCATCGTCACTCATCAAAAGCAAGGTGTATCCTTTTTGAGTATGTTGTCATCCCTCCGAGAGGTAACTCGGAGGTTACGTTTGATTTGCTCGCGTTAAGGCTTGTGTCTCCTTTTTCAGTATTTTGTTTCAAACGTACTATTGAAGTTACACCTCTCTCACACTGTTATGCACACTTTTCTCGCATTGTTGTGCACGTCTCGTTACATTGTTATGCACACCACTTGCTCGCATTTGTTGTGCACGTTTCTCATTGCATTGTCATGCACTCTACTTGCGTTGTCACGCATGTTTTACTTGCATTATTATGCATGTGTCTCTCGCATTGTCATGCACACTCGACTCGCGTTGTCATACACTTTTCACTTGCATTGCTATGCATATTTCCATCAGCATTGTGTATGCATGCGTTTATTCCGTATTAGAATTATACCATGATGTAACGTGGAGCATGTGTTGCTACTATAATTGTACCTGTTGAGTTTCTTTCTTTTGCAGGCACGATATTGTATGCACGGTTCATTCAAGGTAGGTTCCGGCCCGGTTTGACTGTTACCCTTTCTCCTCTCGCGTTTGGATACCTTTCCTCTCCTGCGTGTGATACGCTGAGAGATGTTGTGTTTGAGACTCTGGGTATTCCCGATAGTCACTTTTAGCCTACTCCGCGTGAGACACAGTGAGAATTGTATAATTTTCTTGCATCCTTTCTGCATGAGTTGTAGTTTGGTTCGTATTCGCTTGCTTAAATTGTTGCATTTATTTTGCATAATTGCTTCATTACGGCTTTCTTTGCATGATCATAAGTTATGTTCGGGATTGTGCATGTCTTTTGCATTTTGCCCCTGCCTGCGGGCATATCTCTTTATTATCTTGCCTGCTTGTCTAAGTCTTCAGCCTTGTCAAAAATGGGTCATCTCTGGGCTTTAACATTCACTCCCGTCACTTATTAACTTCCGAGTTCTGTCAAAGAGGGGCAACTGTAGACACCCCATTTTTGACTGACCTTAAGACTCAGACGTCATCGATTGAGCGCTCGGTGATTGTGCATGTTGTACTCGTTTCGAGGTTTCGGAGTTTTCGGCTGAGTGCCTTGCCTCCGAGCCTCTGAACTCTTTGTGTTTTGGCTCGGTTTGTGGAACAAGCCTTGTTTCCCTTCCTTGGAGGGAGGGAGAGGTCTTGTAGACCAATTTTCGTGGTCATAGACCACTTTTCCTGCTTGGAGACTAGTTTCTGATTTTCGGAGCGTTCGGCCGCGCGCCTTGTCTCTGGACTGCTTAGCGTTCTCCGTTTGGCTTGGTTTTTCAACCACACCTTGTTGCCTCTGCCTAGAGGGACACTGTGATCTTAGAGACCATTTTTGTGGTCGTAAACCACTTTTGGTGCTCGTAGACTAGTTTTCAAGGCTCTCGACTGCACGCCTTCCCTCCCGAGCTCTTATCTTACATCCTTTTTGGTTTGTTTTTGGTACAAACCTTGTTTTCCTTGTTTGGAAGGTGATACAAGGGTGGGAGACCAATTCTTCCCCTTGGAGACCACTTTCCTTCCTGCCAGCCAGTTTTCTGGTCGGGCAACTGGTTTTCTTGGTCTTTGGGCCACCTTTTTTGGTCGGCCACCACACCATTGCCTTGCTTTCATGCTGTAGACCATCTCCTCCCCATGGCCGTCCACTTCCACTAGTCGGCTGACCAGTAGAAGTATCACCTTTTTAGAGATATTTTTAGGCCAGTTGTTACAGCTGGAAGGCACAGAAGCCATCCCCCATACACGTGTATAAAGAGATGGCTTTAAGTCAAAAGCTTGTCCAACAAGCTTGTTGCATGTTCTCTATATAAGAGAACCTCTGCCCTCCTCTTCCAGGTTCAGATTTTGGTGCTTAAGAGTTATACATACATCTTTGTATCTATCTTGCATCTTCTCTTCATTATTGTGTTCAAAAGTGCATTTTTATCATACTATTGCGCACAAACACACACTCAAACACCATACTCTTGTTGCTGAGGCTCTTTGAGGTTGGTTTTGGAGTCTTTGGACTGGTTGTGATCAAGGAAAGTTGCTGGAGTTGCAGCTTTAAAGGGTTTCTACAAGGGTGAGAAACTAACCTCTTAAACCCTTCTTTTGCTTAAGCTTTTAGCTCTATTTGCATGGTGTTTTAGGCTTGACTTCCTACTACAAAAAGTTCTATTTTTTAGTCCTTAGCATGTTTGTTTAAGGTCTCTTTTGTGTTGGGGGTAGTCTACCTCCTTTTAGGCCTTGTTTTTGTGCTATCCTTTTAAGCTATTGGGACCACCTTGTTTTGGACTTCTCACCACTGAAACTCAGAGGAATTTCAGTGGTGGAAATGGTGTTTTGAGGTCCGAAATATGAGAGGGTAATCCCCTCTCCTTGTGTCTTGTTTACTTGCTTTGAATGCCTTATGTTTGAGCATGTTTGTTAAGCTTATGTTGGCCATATCTTAGCATGTATTTGGGGTTATTTTGGTATGGAACACCACTATTTTTACTTGGTTTTGTCATCCCTTGCATGGTTTATACACTTGTAGTGTGTTTCTCACAAACCAGTCTTGTATGCTTCATGAAGTAGCATGCCTTTCTAGCATGATTTCATTCTATTTCAGCATGTTCTTGGTGTTGTTTTGCCATGAGATACCTCTGTTAAGGTTTGGTTTGATAGCTCCATGCATGCTCCATGCACTTGTAGTGCATTTCCATGAACTAGCCTAATGTGTATCATGCTTTAGACCATCATTCTAGCATGATTTTGGCTTAACTTTGAGAAGCTTTTGTCCATGTTTTAGTATGCTCTTGCTCTGATTTGTGTTATTTTGGTCATGCATGCCATGCTTTGTATAGCTATAATTCATTCTAGCTTGTTAGCTTTGTGTATCAAGTCCACTAGCATGCATTACTTGGACTATTTTCATGATTTAGCATCATTTGAAATATTATTTCAGTCCATATAGTGTGTTCATACACTCGCATTTGTCACTATTTCCATGCTTTGGAGGGTTTGTGTTTTATGCCTTAACATGAGTCATTGCGTATGCCTTCATGCCTAAGCTTGCGAGTTATCATTTCAATGTGTTTTTGGGATTATTTTGCCATGATATAACTCTGATTTTTGTTGGCGAAGCCATCTCATGCTTGGTCTTGATAGGTGTAGTGTAATCCACCTTATTTGCCTTGCATCCATCATGCCTTATGCCCTTCATGGTAGCATATTTTGGCTTCCTTCCATACATGTTTTAGACTCATTTTAACATGTTCTAGGATTGTTTTGGGTTGCCCTTGCCATATGCTTCATGTTTTGCATAGTAGTAGTGCAATTGGCCTTTTTAGCCTTATGTTTTGATGCCTCATGCATGTTATCTTTAAGCTATTTGGATGATTTGGCATCATTTAATACTTGATTTCAGAGCATGTAACATTGCCATATTCTCATGCATATCACTCTTTAATTGTGGTTTAAGAGTTGTGCATTGTTGCCTTGTTTGTGGCCAAG